ATATAAATACTTTTTATTGATAGAAAAAGTGGATACAAAGCATAAAATGATTTCTTTTTTAAAAATAATAAAATCAACATTGCGTCGGTAACATTTAAATACATGCATCTTAGATTCTGAAAGTTTGTATCGCAGAAGCTTGTATTTTAAAACACAATGGGTCAAAACTTTTAACTCTAAAATAAATTTAATTTTGATTCTGGTTTCTAGTAAAAAAATTGAAATAAAATATTTAAAAAATCAATTTTTTATGATAAAAACCAATCGCTTGTATTTTAAATACTTCAAACTTCTGTCTTAAATACTTTAGGATTGCATCTTAGTTACTCTGGACTTGTAAAATATTTCTATATTTGGTAATAGTCTTATTATTTTAACTTTATTGAGTAATACCGGTACAAACCAAGTACACAATTATTTTGATCTCAGACGTAATATTAAACTAAAAAAGAAGTGGATAAGAATATTGAATGAATGAGTGTTGGAATTAATGAAAACGCAATCGGTCAAAACTTTTCATTCTAAAGTAAAATTAATTTTGATTCTGGTTTCTAGCAAAAAAAAATGAAATAAAATATTTAAAAAATCAATTTTTTATGATAAAATCAATCGTTTAAATAAATAATCATTCCCTATAAATAGTTAGAAACTTACTTTAATTAATAGACTTTAATTAAATAGACTTTAATTAATAGATTGTGTGTTAATTCCGGTTACGTTTTTCAAATATTAAAGCTTTTTTATAAAAATGACTTAAAAAATGTTTATTATTGTAATTATTAACATGACAACAAATAAAAAACAGTAAATAAGATATAAAAGGTGTTTTTTCTTGATCTATAAAAATACTTCAAAAAGAAAAGCTTCATTCCTATATTAACAAAACCTTTTTTTAATAACGAGTCTTTAAAAAGTTTATATTTTTCGTTTATACACAGCTATCTTTCATACTGTAACATTTCCTGGGGTAGCACTAATCACACTAAACTCAAAAAAATTTATAGTAAACAAAAACATGCTTGCAGGATAGTATTTGGGGCAAATAGAAAAACACAATGCGAACCTCTCTTACGTCAGCTTAGAGCTTTAAATATTTATAAGCTTAATATTCATCGAGTAATGTTATTTATGTTTAAAGCAAAACTTGGGTTTTCTCCAGTAACATTTCAATCCTACTTTAATGAAATCTCCCATAAATATCCAACCAAATTTTCAGTGAATAACTTTGTGGTTTCCATAAACCTTCTTAAATTAAGTTTGTACCAAATTCAATATCGGGGACCTTTATTTTGGAAAAAATTTCTTTCAATCTTTAGTGAAAAACAAAACTTCGTTTTAAACTGCACTTTGCAAGGTTTTAAGAATGATTCAAAACGACATTTACTGAACATGGAATTTAATATATTAGATTTCAAATACCATTTTTGAAAACAATTTAAAGGTTTAAACTAAATCACTTAAAAACAAATTAAATCTTTATCACTTTCTTTAGCTTTTTTTAAAATAGTTTCAAACCATTAGTATAAAAGATAACGAAAATAAAATTGTCTTTTTCGTTCATATTTTTGATGATAATAAATAATCAGCCCAAATACTTATGTTTACATATATTGCTTTTTTTTGTTAATTAAACAACGCATTTTTTTTGTGTTTTTATAACTTTCATGATTTTCTGTCGCTTTTACTTTTTTATTTTTAAAATTATTCTGCTTGAAGATTATTAGCAACAAATTATTTTATTGCTGAAGTTTTTGATTTGTTTTTGTATTTATACTGTCTTTTTGTCTTTTATCATTTATTGTGCATGTAAATTTTTGTGTGACGGGGCTCGGTGATAAGATAACCTGTCTTCTTCTTGCTCCGGCCAGGATTTTTTTTTATTGTAATTTCTTTTTTGCAATATTTATCAACGGCAAAATAAATAAATAATAAAATAATAAAAAATAAAAAAATAAATAAAAATAAAATAATATGACATTCCTTTAGGCATTCCATTATCAAGACTGATAGATCGCGTGAAAACAATAATTTAGATATCAAGAGATCAAGCTTATTACGGTACTACTGCAGCAAGCAGAGTCTACTAAAGTGTAATGACTTTTAACTCAGAATGGCGTCATAGACTCAATATGCGGTGTCAATCAAGTTTGTTTAAAAATTGCAAGTTTGGCTGACACAAATTTTACGCATTTATGAACCAATGTTTGTAAGAAATTTTCTCATTTAAACTTACAACAGATGTCATATCTGTCAGATCCAATTCGTGCATGGAAGAAACTGTTGATGGGTATTTTGATGTTGACGCTAAAAAACAAAAACAATATCAACAGTCTGGTACATTCTCATAATTAGAATGACGATAAAATTTCTGCAATTATTATGATAAAAGTAATCATGTTGCTTTGAAAACAAGGCACTTTTAAAATTTCACTGGTAGCAATAAAAAAATCCACTGTACAGAGAAAAATTGTTTTATTGCCAATGGAGACTTTATCATACCTTTTGTAATATAAAAAGCAAAACAAAACATTATACCTAAATGGGATTTCGGTGGACAGACTTGTGAACACAGAATCTTGTTTGAGTGACGCGTTCGAACACTATTGCTGATTTTGAATATGCTGGGTTATTTCCACTCAACACAGCGTTTGAACGCTGTTGCTGATTTTAAATTGCTGGAATATTTCTAATCAACACAAACAGCATCAATAAACAGGCATTAGCTATCTCAAAAACTTTTAATACAAAAAACGTCCTTAAATGCATTGGTAGCAAAACAGCCTTTACTATCATTTTCTAAATCATTCAAAGTTGTTTCAAGATAAGATATGTATAACTCAATTGCTTCGAGGTATGAAAAGTAGAAAAACACAACACAAGAGAATAAAAATATGTTTTTCCTAGAGAAAGCCAGTCTCATTCAAAATATGTATTACTATCTAGTATTACTGCCTAAAGCCAAAAGTATTAATAAACACGATGATACCGATCATTTCAAATAAAAGAAGGAAGGAGACAACTTAAATTAAATTAAACAGAAGATTAAAAAAAAAACAAGTTCTAACTTTTCGATGTGCAACAGAACATGTTGCGGTCAAAAATATTTCTTTCATTCAGCCTACCTGTTCTGCTTCATTTTTGTTACCTTTTTGGGTTTGACCAGAGGCAATTTTACGGGGGCGGGGGGGGGAAGGGTATGGGGTGTTACACAAAGAAGGTGATTTTCAAGTTACAGTCGGGTTTTTTTTACCAATTTAGTTGGCTAGTCGGGTATTTGACTCAATTCAGTCGGCTAAAATTAAATTTTGAGAACCTTTTTTTTTTTTTTACGAAGCCAGTCGGTACTTTTTACGGATTCACCTCCCCCCCCCTCATTTTTTTTGTAGAATCGCCTCGGGGTTTGACACGAAGTTTTAACCTCCGTCCTTGACTTATCACAATGTTTTATAAATTCAATATGTGCTTAAATTCTTAGGGAAAAAAATAATTACAAATAATTTTTTTATAAAACAATCAAACAATAAAACGTCTATGCAAAATCATCTGACACCATGAAATGTTTTATGAACTATGAACAAAAAAGAAGATTGTAATTAGAAACTTACAAAAGGTTAATAAATTTTACAGAAAAAATTATTAAAAAGAGCAATCACCTGTGAAATTCAGTAATGAAAATTGCTGGTTTTTAATTCAAAAACACATTCCTAATATCTAAATGCTGTTAAGAAAATGTTAAACTTCATGAGTGCACTTTAAAAACTAATATTGCTGTCTTTCTCTTTTCTTTCTCTTTTCTTTCTCTTTTCTTTTCTCTGCTAATAAAATTCTAAGTATTCTAAATTTATTTTAAAAACATGGTAAATATTTTACAATTCTTGTGGTTCTTTTTTTTTTCGTTTTGTTAATAAAATTGTTTAATATTATTTATATTAGGCATTAATTAGTTTTGATTTATTTTAACTTTTTTGATTTCAATTATAATCAGTACGTTAAAGTCAAACATGAATTATTGTCGTATTTAGAATTCGGCATTATTTTCATAATTTATTAAATATATATGAAAGCAAATATATTTTTTTATAATTATGAAATTTCCAGAGCATGTACCACTAATATCATACAAATCTGATTGGTGTGATGTGATAACCGGAATTTTATTCTATTCTATGTTAAATTTATAAATGACCTGTCAGAAGTAATGACACCTTTCATTAAAGTATTTGCATTCGATACAAAAAATTAAAATTATAAAAAACCCAACGAACACCAATTCATTTTGTAAGGGGATAAGTGCAATTTCAAAATGAGCTGCTGAATTTCATAAAACTTAAAAGGGATTGTCCATAACGTACGTACGCTCGGAGAGGAAGAGGGGGTCTGCAAAGATAAAGGGGCAGTAGGCCAATTATAAAAGTATGGAGAAACTAAATTTAAAGAAATATCATAAAATGTTGGGTTCGTAAGTTAAAAGTGTATGTACTTTTAGGGAGGAAGAGGGTATTCAAAAAAGCGTATGGCAAAATACATAGGGGGGGGGGGGGGTGCGTGTGGCGAAAAAAAAGCGTACGTACTTTATTGACAACCCCAAACCTGAATCCGAGCGTAAATTTAATATAATAATTACAAAGAATTTTAAACTGAAAACTCAAAAAAGTAATTTAAAAGCTAGCTCTGCATTTGGAATGCTTAAACGAACTTTTTTATTTTTTTCGGAGTTTAAAAATATTTTTTTGCACGCGAGATTTGTAAAACCTCACCTTGAAATATTTTTTTCAGCAAAAACTCTTTACATAAAGTTAGACAATTGAAGAATAAAAAGTTAAAAGCTCAAGTCAATTCAATGTAAAGCTATAAAACTAATATTGGCTATACGAAAACTTACGTAAACTCAAAATCATTGGTTTAACTTACCAATCATAGAAAAATAGAAGTATGTCAGTCAATTATTTTAAAAACTTCAATACGATAATAAAGCTAATTGGTATGCATCAATAAATCACCTGAACTTGCGAGCAGCTAGTATTTTGGGACATCAGCCATTAGAAGTCATTAGTCATTAGAAATAATCAATATTACATTATTGAGCAGAACCAGATCAACATTAGTCGACAAGGATTTTCTTTTATTAATAAATTTGTCCAAATTTGAATCAGTTACTTAAAGAATATTATGTTATTCTTTAAATAACTGGTTGTTAACCATGCAATAAATTACAAATAAAGAAAAGTTATGTAAATACACCTTTAGTGAAGATTTTTGTTTTTAAGTTAAATAAACTAAACTATGAGTTGAAATGTTCTGAAGTTCAGTTGTTTTGTTGCTTTAACAAAGGAAAGAAATTTTTCAACCGGTCAAAGCTTACTTTTGAACTTTTTTTTGGTCTACATCTGGCACTTGAAGAACATCCTGAATTAATTTAGATATAGCAATCAACCGTGGATTATAAACGGATAGTCATCAAATCTGATAAAAATCGAATATATATATTTGTAAAAGTAGAAGAAAAACAAATAAAATTTGAGATTTTACCCGTTTGTTCACCTTCTGTTGTGTATGCAGTGAAATTAAAGTTGCTTTGCATTTTTTGAATCCACTTTATGTGGTTATAACAGGAAAGTACAATAAGCGTTAAGGCGAGTTTCCACTCATCCGTTTTTTTACGGGAACGGGAAAGGGACGGGAAAATTATTCACGTAGGCATGCGTAGTATAAGTTTTAATATTTACGAAGGAAAACTACGCATGCTCACGTGATTATTTTTCCCTTTTTTTATCCCGTTTCCGTGAAAAAACGGATGAGTGGAAACTCACCTTAAATTTATAAGCAGTTATTAGCGGCTATCATCTATTTAAAACGCTATTAAATTTTTTTGCGTTGTTAAAATAATGTTAATACAAATGATTAAAATGGTTTACCAGGAAATAATTTTTTTTTGTCAAGTTGATTTTTTTTTTTCAGAATATCAAATAAAATAGAATTTTAGTTCCTAGTTATCAAAACAAAATTGAAATTTTGAATATTTTTGTAAAATATATCAAATTTTAGCCTAAAAAGGCCTAAAATTATTGACATGAATGAAACAAGAAAACTCAAACATGAAATGTCTATTTCTCTCAAAATTTTGCACAGATAGTCTCACTTATATTATTTAGTACCTGAACTAAAATAATGTTCATCGCAAAAGTATAAGACTAATTTTTGAATTTTTATTTTGATTTATACCACTTTTCGGGGGGTTTACATGAAAAATATATAAAAAATGAGTAATAACACTGTAAATAAAGCTGTAATGTAAATAAAGCTGTATTCACACTGTATTATTATGTCTTTATATTAGTTTATTATCCAGATCTAAGTGAATACTGCAAATGCTGAAAATTTTAGGTCCATATCTTTAACCAATCTTGAAATATCTTTTTTCACATAAAGGTGAATATAAAAAAATGACAAACTGAGAAAACAACATTGTAAAAACTAAAAATAAAAAACTGTTTCTAAACTTCCCAAAATCACTCAATTTTTTAGCTTCAAGTTCTTGTTCTTCATTTCTTTTTTTTGTTATTAAAAGTTTTCTCTTTTCTCTCAATATTACTAACACAACGCCTATCTCTTTTTAATGAACCGGATACAGTCTTACCACTGTCAAAAACACGTTTAGGACTAGGTGTTCCTTTGTTCAAAATCAAAATAGCTGAATTTACTTTGATTTTTAAGGTACATTTCTTCATAAACTCATTTTTGGACACTTTTTGGACCTAATTACATTATTGATACCATCATTGTAATTTTTTGTTTCTCCATGAACACCTTTTCACAAATTGATCATCACTTAAATCCTTGAAATTACTTAATAAAATATCATGGACCCATATAGGTAGATTAACTTTTAGTTTATAGTTGTTTATAGTTCACCTTCTGAGTTTTTCCAATTACACTAACTTTCAGCGTTGTACAGGACATAAAACATGGTGTTGCAATTGACTTTTAAAATTGGTACAGCAGAAACTACTTTGAACAGCAACAATCGTTTTTAAGTTAATGTCAAATGCTTTCATGCCTTTATTTTGTGTGTTTTTTTCCCACAATATTGCTCGTAAAAGTGAACCACTCGTACGTATGATTAAGATTACATAATCTTACATTTGATTTCCAAGTTGTATAAAAATCCTATTCCCTTTGAAATGTCATTTTGTATATTTACTCTATTTTGACAATCTGAAAATTTTTGAAAACAAGGAAATACTTAATCAAATAAAAATCAATTAAACACTGGTTTTCATTCAATTTAAATTTGCTAAGATTTTTAACGCCATATGATTTTTATAAAAAAATAATTTCACTTGCTTTACCACTTGTTTTTTGGAACTTGTGTCTAGATTGTTGTCTTAACTTTTCTTATACGATTTTTCTTATTTCCATTTATTTATTAGCTAAAATAAAATAATTAAAATCTATAAACAACTTTATTAATAACGATAAATATACAGATATGTATATTTATCGTTAACTTATATATCTCTTATATATATATCTCTACAGATGAATTAATGGTAAAACAAGTTTATCATTAGTTCATCTGTAGATATATATATAAGTGCTCTGTAATAGCTTTTTTATAACACTGAAAGTAAATGTAGTTTGTTTTATTTTAATTTACGGTATAGAACAGACTTAACTATCATACTAAAGTTCAATTTTTTTAAAAGTATTCCAAGTATACAAAAATTAGTCCAAAACAAAAAGAAAAGTGTGTTGCTAGGGGCCGTTGCTATGCAAAATATGTTTAACCCCCTTGCTTAATTCTTAAAATAAACCTATTGTATTTGTTTTACTAAAAAACAGATTTTAGAAATGAATTCAGGGATAATTAATTATCTTAAAATAATCTAAACTGAAAATTTGAAAATTTTGAAAAATTTTAAATTTATTTCCTGGTAAACCACCTTAAATCTTTGGCGCGAAATTTTGGTGCTAAAATAATGAAAGTTTTTTTTCATAAAGAAAAATATGTTAGTTTAAAATCCATTCCATTTTTGTTTATAAAATAATGCATAGAATCGTTTAGTTTTGACTTTATTTAAAAATGCTATTTATGTGTAATATGAGCATGCTCAAATTACCCAGTGTTTTTCTTTGTAATAACCAAGTTTAAAGTCCTAAAATGGCAGTGTTTTAATTGCTTTTGGAATAAAAATAAAACATAGTAAAAAACTTTAATATTTAAACAATATTAAATGTTTTTGTCTTCTGTAATTTAAAATCAAAAAATTTAAATTAGTTCTAATTGCCAGGTTGGTAATTTTTTACATAGTTAATGTTATTTTTTTACTTAATTAATGTTATTTTTTTACTTAATTAATGTTATTTTTTTACTTAATTAATGTTATTTTTTTACTTAATTAATGTTATTTTTTTGAGCTAATTTAAAGAGCTCATATTACCAAATATTCTTGGTAATATGAGCACTTTTGCTGCTTTTTTAAAACCTCTGTGTTTTTAAGAAAAAAATTCCGGGTGCCCAAATATCTAAGTGGACCATAAGTAAGGATCCCTAAAAATTGTTTATTTGCTAAAATTTTGGATCCAGCATAATTAATTTTGAAAATACTCCAATTTTCGTTTAAGGTACTCACATTACCCTAATCTACGCGGTATTGGTGTAGTGGTAAAGCCCTTCATTAGCGAGAGGTTCCTGAGTTCAATCCCCACCACGTCCTTGGTAGTACCGCACTCATCTTGTTTCTCCGCGCAGCAGCCTTGTTTGTCAAGGTTCGTGTTTCGGAGTTATAAAATTATAAATCCGAAACACGGAGAGAGGTTTTAACCACAATTAAGAAGCCTTTTCGTTTGTAGTGGCTTTCTCGATCTTGGGGAGGTGAAATAATTATAAAAAAAATCTACCCTACACGCTATAACTACACTATAGTTAGTTGGCTTAAACAGGTTTTGCATAGCAGTTTTGCGTTGATTGATTCAGTCGGTACTATAAAAATTAATTTTTGGATTTGCAAAAAAAAAAGATATTTTGTTGTTACTCTTTAGAAGTTCATCCAATTTGTTATGATTTTTTATGATTTTTGATCGAAACATTAATCCGTTTGCAAAAAAATGTTAGGTTTATATATAATGATAGGTGATATCTTCTTTTTCTTTTCCTTTTTTTTTTCTTAATGAATAGACAGAGTAAACATTAAACTGGCTTATTTAAAAAATTGCTTTTTAGTTCTGGATTTAATTCAAACTAGTTATATCAGAAGTTATTAAAACACTTAATTCTTATTGTTCTAAATATTTGCTTTTTACAAAAAGGTTTTGTTTAAAACAATCTTTAACTAGAATAAAACATTCGCTATTTTTTTTTTTTTTTTTTTTTTTTTTTTGTTCTGGTTTTATTAATACTACCTAGCTATTTTGCCTTAAAATCTTTTAATCAAGAATACGCTAGGATAGCCATTCCCGAATGGTTATCCTAGCGCACGAATGGCGCTCCTTTGGTCTTTTTTTTTACCTTTGTTTCATTTAAAAACGTGTTTAAGTCATTTAAGGTTATGGAGATGTTTAAGGGGAAAATTAACCTTGTTTTAAATTTCATGTGGATTGAGACTTTTCACTGAGAAAAAAATATAATTTGATTATTGTACTGGAAAAACAACGTAAATTAGAACACTTGTTTATAACTTAAATATAAAAATACAAAATACCATGCAGCTACACCTGTTACTTTTAAGTTGTTGTTTATATTTGTTTTCCAATTTCTGAGAAAACCAAACATTGTTTTTAAGCGATATCCTTCAATCACACTCAATTTCACATACGATGCTTATAATATAAGGAAGGAGCTTGAAAGTTTTTGTGTCAAAATATTTGTAGTAGAGAGAATTCTAAAGCACAGATGTTTTTCTGTTTATTATTATTTTATTTGTTCGTCATTTATATACATTTTACAATGTTCTTGTTTTACAAGTTTCATAAATAATATATAAATAAAATAGAAGAATGACAGGAACAAAAAGAAGCAGAAGTCTTGTCGTCAAATCCCTATAATAATCGTGAAGTATTTTTTGCAAAATTTTAGAAATTTCTCATTAAATTTTAATTACTAAGTAAATAAATAGCTAATAAAAAAAAGTACTAAATCTTTTTATATA